TCGAGTTCAAACAGTTCGAACTCGAACTCGCAACCCCCCTCGAACCCGAACTGAACTGGAACTCAAACTGGCCCCTGTAATCTAGTTTTGGGGACGTGTCTTCACAATGCATGCTTTCAGTGTTGCATGTACATGACATGTTCACATTAATTCATATGGACCACTGCGCCAGTCCGTGGCTCAAGACTTGCTTGCATACCGCAGCTAAAAGGTGTAGCTTGCCGCCGCGTTGACCACAAGTGTTCCAACGACTATCGTAGATCCAGGGCTGCCTTAATAGAGGGGATTGCTACCTCAAAGTGGTAGCGGAGCCTGTGCCTTTGCCAAGTTCCGAAAAACTTGTACAGCAGTTGTTCTTTTATAGCATCTGCTCCGAAATTCGGACTTGCGAAGGCAAGCCTCGTCCCAGGTCTTGGAACCGCGCAAACCTGAATTAGGCTGGTAAAACTTGTCAAATCCGTGACGAAATTTCGTCGCGGAATTGACAAGTTTCATTTCGTCACGGAATTGACAAGTTTCATTAGGGTCAACATCATCATCACCATCATCATCATCATCATACACATATGTAAGTTCAAATATATATATATATATTGAAATATGATGAATATACATAGATATCTAAAGAATTCTGTAAATATATTCAAATATATATATATATACATATATATATATTGTCCCAGTCCTCGTGAGCGTAGCATCAACTGCTTCTGCAAGTTCACATGAACGTTAACATCCCACCCCATCCCACACCATTCCACCCCCACACCCCACCCGGTGTGGTAGCATTCAACCACCCTGCTTCTGCATTCACATCAACGTAACTTCCCCCCCCCTGCAAGTTCACATGAACGTTAACATCCCACCCCATCCCACCCCCCCACCCCACCCCGCGTGTGCGTAGCATTTCATTGATTCGGCAAGTTACATGAACGGAAACTTCCCCTGCAAGTTCACAGAAAGTTAACCATATCCCCCCTCCCCACCCCGCGTGTGCGTAGCATCAACTGCTTCTGCAAGTTCACATGAACGTCAACATCCCACCCCATCCCCCCCCACCCCACCCCGCGTGTGCGTAGCATCAACTGCTTCTGCAAGTTCACATGAACGTTAACATCCCTCCCCATCCCCCCCCACCCCGCGTGTGCGTAGCATCAACTGCTTGTGCAAGTTCACATGAACGTTAATTCACATGAACGTTAACATCCCACGTTAATTCACATGAACGTTAACATCCCACCCCACCCCCCCACCCCATCGTATGTGGTTCCAGGACCTGGGACGAGCCTATATCTCTCATCTGGCCAGATGGCTCCGCACCCGACGCTTTAGCGAGCTTACTTTTCGACCCTCCGGAGCCTCAAATCATTGGAAAAACACAGTGTTTTGCGACTTTCCTACCTTTTCGCGCATCTGCATCTTCTTTCTTCTGACTCTTTCTCTTCTAATCTTTTCCCTTCTCTCTGCCTCTGCCCTGCTCTGCTTTTCATGTCCATATTGTCGGAAGTTTGACTTCTAAACTTCCTTCGATAATCCATGTAAGATTTTTTCCAGTCCAAAGTGAGCTCCGCTCTAACTGAACTCGAACTCTACCCCTACCCCCCCGAAAAAAAATAGTTCGAACTCGAGTTCAAACAGTTCGAACTCGAACTCGCAACCCCCCTCGAACCCGAACTGAACTGGAACTCAAACTGGCCCCTGTAATCTAGTTTTGGGGACGTGTCTTCACAATGCATGCTTTCAGTGTTGCATGTACATGACATGTTCACATTAATTCATATTGACCACTGCGCCAGTCCGTGGCTCAAGACTTGCTTGCATACCGCAGCTAAAAGGTGTAGCTTGCCGCCGCGTTGACCACAAGTGTTCCAACGACTATCGTAGATCCAGGGCTGCCTTAATAGAGGGGATTGCTACCTCAAAGTGGTAGCGGAGCCTGTGCCTTTGCCAAGTTCCGAAAAACTTGTACAGCAGTTGTTCTTTTATAGCATCTGCTCCGAAATTCGGACTTGCGAAGGCAACTTGTAGGTCAAATCCAAATCGCTGCTGTGGTCTTAATCCACAACATGGACTCAGACGAAGAGCAACTTTAAATTGTCTCATATGAAGAGCCTGAAGCCTTTGCAGCCAGTCACGCCGAAAACCGGCTAGGCATCAAAATGACTCCTAAGGTACCTCCCCAATTTGATGGCCAATCAAGCTGGTTTGAATATGAAGATTTCATTGATGACTGGCTCGGTATTACACATTGGACCCAGACAAGCACGGACCATCATTGAAGAACGCCCTCGTAGGTTCAGCTTCTTTTTACAAGTCGATGCTCGACAATGCCCTACTCCGAGATCCGGATCGTGGCCTCGCTCATTTCAAGGACACATTGAGACCCTACTTCGTGAAGGGAGTAAATCATGTGTTCCTTTGGCGATTCCTTCAGATGTTTCGCACATATCGAGGCCAGAGCGAATTCGTGCACTGGATATAGGGCGTCTCGAAATCGCTCAGAAGCGCCTGTTGCCGTCATGGTCCGACGTGCTTGATCTCTCCGATATATCGGAAACAGGCACGCAGGCATTTATAGCAGCATCAACAGATGAGCAGCGACTGCACCACCAGCAACTGCAAACAGATGAAGAAAGATTGAATTACCAAACGACCCTTCGGGAACAGACCATCACAAACAGAAAGGCCCAGCATCAACTTGATTTTCCATTGTCGGATAACTTGATGTCCTTGATTTTCTTGGTTCAATCAGACCTCAACGAACAACAGCGAGAGCGTTTT